TCCCTGGGCGCCCTGGCGTAGGTGCCGTTGTCAGGATTGTGGCTGATCACGATGGCGTAGTCCCTGGACGCCCCAGCGTAGGTGCCGTTGTTAGGGTTGTGGCTGATCACGATGGCATAGTCCCTGGACGCCCTCGCATAGGTGTCGTTGTCAGGGTTGTGGCTGATCACGATGGCGTAGTCCCTGGACGCCCCGGCGAGGGCACCACAGTCGCCGACGTGGTGCTCGACATTGCAGATGACGGCGGCCTTGAGGATCCCATAGAGCGGTAGGACATCGCCAATGGAGAGCGTGGTGCGGCGACCGTAGTAGTGCTCATAGTAGAACTGGTCAGAAACTGTAATCGAATAAGTTTGTGGGGGAGCCCTCGAGTGAATAGTTTTTTGTATTTATGAATACATCAGTCCTTTTCGTGGTGAAATCACTTTGTAAGCGATGAATTTGTGCGAAAAATGAATAAGTTTTCAACTTTCGTTACGGCAAACAGCTTTTTGGCTCTTCTCCCTCTTTTTGTAAAAGAGGTTTGGTGCCTTCCGACCCTTCTCATAGTTAAGGTCGCAAAAAACTCAGAGTGCGGGCGAGCCAACTCTGATCATGCTGGTGAGCAAGGAGGTCGTAGCCGCTGGGGCATGGGTTTCCCGCAGTCCTACCAGTTATACTCAGACTTTGTTCCTGAAATTCTAGCCTTTAGGACTTACCATGAGAAAAGAGGGAAAACACAGAGAATGTTTGCAAGATAACACAGAGAGTGTTTGTAAGGTAAACGTACTTATATCAGCCCCCGAGTGAGGTCCGACCCTTCGCACTTTGCAGGGGTCGGATGTCACTAAAGATCGTGGATTTTTGAAGACAAAAACTGATAAGAAAAGGTATGCGCTTATTTAAGGGTAAAAACAACGTAGCTGCTCAATGTTCCAGGCGTTGGTGAAGACCTCGTCGTCGATGGTTTTCAACTTATAGGCGCCTAGCCGGAGTACCTCCGCGATGACGTATGGTCCCTCCTAGGGCGGGGAGAGCTTGTGACGGTCCTTGTTGCTCTGCATGAGGCGGAGAACTAGGTCCCCGATGTTGAAGGCTCGGTCCCGCACTCGTCGGCTGTGGTACCGACGCAGCGTCTGCTGGTACTTGGCCGAACGGAGGAGGGCAATGTCGCGAGCTTCGTCTTGCAGGTCCATGGCGTCTTCATGGGATGCCTTGGCTCCCTGTTCGTTGTATGCTCTGATTCTTGGCGCTCCATAGTCGAGGTCGGTTGGGAGGACGGCCTCGGAACCATAGACCATGAAGAAAGGTGAGTAGCCGGTGGCCTGGCTGGGAGTCGTCCTCAGGCTCCAGAGCACCGCAGGGAGCTTAGCGACCTAGCGTGCGCCGAACTTGTTTAGACGGTTGAAGATCCTTGGCTTGAGGCCCTGTACGAGCATACCATTTGCGCGCTCGACCTGCCCGTTCGTTCGGGGGTGCGCGACGGTGGAGCAATCGACCCAGATGTGTTGTTCATCGTAGAATCGAATGATTTTCTTGCCGGTGAACTATGTGTCGTTGTCTGTGATGATGGAGTTTGGTACTTTGAAATGATGGATGATGTCGATGAAGAACAGCACTGCTTGCTCGGACTTGATCACGGAGATCGGTCGAGCTTCGATCCATTTTATAAACTTGTCTATGGTGACAAGCAAGTGGGTGTAGCCCCCGGACGCCTTTTTGAGAGGTCCAACCAGATCGAGCCCACAGACCGCGAAGGGCCACGTGATGGGGATCATCTGGAGTGCCTGGGCCGAGAGGTGCGTCTGTCGAGCGTAGTACTGGCACCCTTCGCAGGTGCGTAGGATCTGCTCGGCGTCGGCTACTGCAGTGGGCCAGTAGAAGCCATGTCGGAATGTGTTCCCAACCAAGGTTCTAGGCGCGGCGTGGTGACCGTAGACCCCACCGTGGATATCGCTCAGCAGAAGCTTCCCCTGTTCGACGGGGATACAGAGCTACAGGACCTCGGTGTGGCTTCGTTTGTAGAGTTCTCCCTCTATAAGAACGAAGGACTTGGCGCGACGTGCGAGCCATTGAGCTTCCATCTTGTCTGTCGACAGCGTGTCACAGAGGAGGTAGTCGAGGTAGAGTGTTCTCTAGTCGTCCAGAGGGTCAGGCTCTGTCGCTGGATCCTCTTCAAGCTCCATGACCTCGGGGCCGAACGGAGCCGTCGGTTGGTCAACCCCCGGGGCTGGATCAGACGGGCCATCGTCGGCCCACGCTGGCCCTTCGTAGCGCACCGAGGGTTTGTGTTGGTCGCTGGCGAAGACTCCCGTTGGCACTGGCTCTTGACCGGACGCCGCTTTCACAAGCGCGTCGGCCGCCTCGTTGAGGCGCCTTGGGATGTGATTGAGTTTGGCACCGTCGAACTTGTCCTCCAGCCGTCGGACTTCTTGGCAGTACGTAGCCATCTTGGCGTTGTGGCAGCTTGACTCCTTCATGACTTGGTTGACGACCAGCTGAGAGTTGACCCGAATGTCAAGGCGTCGGATGCCCAAGATCATTGCAGCGGAAACTTGATAACAAAATACATTCTTTTAGTTCAGGAGCATTTCTTGGTCCTTATCTACTCTCTGAAAAATAGACCACGTTGGTATAAAATTTATCAGAGATTGAAACTTTAAACTTAAATTTATTATAATATTATTATCATCAACGTTGGTTAGAAAATAACAATACCATAATCTAACATAAGCAAATCGGACTACTCCTATAATTTAAATTTTCCCGTTGGTTTCAATTTAATTAGAGGATAAACATAATCATAATTTACTAAATGTAACTGCTCTTCGAATTAAATTCTCCTATTCGTTTGAATTTAATTGGAAGATAATCAACATTAAACTTTGCAGTGAAAACATGAGAAAATTCTTTATCTACTTTTCAGAAGCATTTTACAGTACTCATCTACTCTCTGAAAAAATTATACCATTGGTTCAAATTTTGACAGAGATTAACATCAAAACTTGACAAAATTCTTAAAAACTGCTTCTAAAAATTAATAAAACTGAAACAGTTTCTTCTGGATATTTTGGCCCAACCGAAAAAATGGGCCCGCGCTACCGCCCTCCATAAAACGCTTTGGCTCGGCCCGCTTGGCTCGGCGGCCCAGCAGCAGCTCGGCCGCGGTTAAATTTTTCTGTGCGTCCGCACGCGCGGCCCAGATCACGTTCGCGTGCCTAGGTGCTGGCCCACGACCCCTTTCGCGCGTGCTCGCCCGCGCTCCCCCGCGCCCAGGCTGCAACATGGGCCTGGGCCGTGAATCCTACGCCCGCCTGGGTTGTAAGCCGGCCCGGTCATCGCCACCCGTCCATCTCGATCGAACAATTGTGCGCACTGATCGGGAGAACAAAAACCGCGCCCCCACCCGGCCAGCCTCCCCCGAACCCTAGACTCGTTCATTCTTCCCCCTCTCGACCGTGTCTCGCTGAGCGACAACGGCAGCGGTGGCCACGATGGCCGTTGGCGCCGGTGAGGAGAAATTCCGTCAGAGCAGATCCGACAACTCTCATCTACTTCTTTCTCGCTCCCCTTCTCTTCTGTCCTAAGAGCGCCCCGATTGAGCGACGGTGGCCGGAGGAGATGGCGGCGCCGTCGCGTGTCCCTCCGCTGGTGCGCGCGTTCACCCGAGAGTGAGCGCGCCACCGTTGAAGGGTTGTGCGGCGGTGCCCTTGCGCCCGCACGCGGAACGTCAGAAGTGCTGGCGAGCCCTTTGCTCAGTCGGTCTTCCGGTGCGCCGGCGAAGCGGCACGGTTTATCTTCCCGCTCGGCGTCAACGATGGCCGGCGGTAAGGGAAAATGGGTAGGTCTCTTCCTTCTCCCACTTTTCTTGCTAGGGTTAGGGTTAGGGTTTGGTATTGCTCGGGATTTTGGTTCTAGGGTTCGGATGCCACTCGATGGTGGCGCCCTAAGACTGCGCGCCCAACAATGGCGACTCGGCGTCTCCTTCCCGCGCGACAGCGGGTTTCTTCCCACGCGACAGCAGTGATGACGGCGGCGGAGGAGCTCAGTGAGTCCCTCTTGCTCTCCGTCCATGTCATTAGGGTTAGGGATTCTACCCCTAATCTAGATCTACACTAGAACCTGGCTCTGATACCATTGAAAGATCAGAAAGTACTTTTACTCGTAGATCAGTGGGTAATATTTAGCTTAATGGGAGACTTGGTGATGAACCTAGCCATGGCGCGGCACGACGCGCCTCTAGTGTCAGAGTAGAGGTAGCATCGAAGTGGTGACACGGTCTAGTGACGACGGTGAAGGCCGGTGCAGCTTCCCGTCGCTCACAGCGCTCCCTCTAGATCGGACTAGTGTTAGACTCGGTGGGGAATTGGCGACTGCAGTGAACCTCGTGTCTTGAGCTCTAGCTCCCACCTCCTTTGTATAGCGCTGCGCAACAGGGGCCCACCAGCCAGGAGAGCGGCTGGGCGCCCCCGATCAGGGCGCGAGTCAAGGGCTCAATTAGCCGTTGGGCCAAATTGGTGGAGCTCAACCTAACAGGCGCTCCTGCTCAAGCAGATGGCCACGGCCGTGGCCGCGGCAGCCACGGTGCCCTCCTTGTCCACCTCAACGGTGGCCTTATGGTACACTCCCACGATGGAAGCCCCACCCCTGTTAGCTAATTTGTTGCAATGTAATCTTTGTTTCTGTTGGAGTCCAGTGTCAGTTAGAATAGGGGCAAGGCATGGTCGATGACATGCTCGATCATGATCTAGCCTGTCTGGTTCGGTCGAGCCACGCCGTGGCGTGCATGGCGCATGTGGCGCGCATCGCGGTGAAACGGTGCAGCGCACCTGTGCGGCACAACGTGGGGAGTTTGTGTAAACTCGAGTCTATAAATATAAGAATAGAGGCGCCGAAATAAGCTGTGTTTTAGACCGCGTCATAATCCATCTTTTCTCGTTTTATTGTTATTGTGTTTCCATCTACTAGCAAGGCTCGTCGCGGTCACCGCCCCGCCGCCATTCGTCGACGTTCCGGGTGACTCAGCAGATCGGGTTCCAACAACCCCCTTCGCCGGCGAACATGCTGGAGAAGTCGCCACCTGCAAAAGCTCTGCTGACACCCAGCTTCTGCATCTCGCTCGCCTCGAACTCGAACGTGAACTTGAACTTGGGGACCATGAGCCGCCCGACCGGAACCTTGCCCACGGGCGTGTGCTTCCTGATGAACCCCGGCGCCGAGACGGCCTTGTAGACATCTCCGAGGCCGTGGTCGTCGTCTGGGAGGAGGAGAAGCATGTAGAAGTACGCGGTCTGGTGCCACTGGTCGCCGCTCTTGCAGCTGTAGGGCAGCTTGAGGGCCCTGAAACCGGGGAACACGGCGACGTATTGCTGCTGCTCATACCTGCTCGTCGTCGTCATGAACGGCGCGCGCACGGTGGTGCCGTCGGGGAGATGGAACGGCGCGTCGAAGGTCCTTGACGGGTCGAACGGCTGAGCCCATGTCCCCTTGAAGTAGAGAGCGTTGGCAAGCACGGCCACCGTGGACGAGCCGACGGAGCCGGGAGGGAGGACGGCGCCGATGAGCCCTTTCGTCGCGTCCTTCACGAAGTCGTTGATGCGCTGCCTCGCCTCCTCGGCTTGCAAGATGGAATCATTTAGTTAGTGGAATCTTGTTTCCATGTGCTGCTGAGATTCTCAAAGATTGCTTCACGTAGACAGAATAGCGAACGAACAAATCAGGACGCACCTGTGACACGAAGTCCACGGATTCCGCGACGGCGGCGTAGACGGCACCGGCGACGTCCGCGAACTCCTCCCGGAGCGCACACCGCCGGTCCACCCAGACGCCGCACGCGAAGGACGTCTGCGGGATGCCGCGCAGCGCGGCGACCAGCCTCGTCACCGCGGCGTGCCGCAGCTCGTCGAGCGACGCCGACCCTAGGAAACGCAGCAGCTCCGCCTGCGTCTCGCCGTTCGCGCCCGCGGCCACCAGCGTGAGCGCCGCGTGGAGCGACAGCGGCGAGAGCATGAAGTTGCGTCCTCGCCGGCCGCCTTGCGCCCGACGCGCCTCGCCAAGCCCAGGCAGCCGGTCGCGTCGTCGCCCGCCGCACACGCACCGCCCCCGCCGCCGCCGGGCCAGGCGTCAGTAGGGGTCTCGCCTGATGGGACGACGACCGTCACGTTCGGCCGCGCGGTCCAGGGTGATGGGAGGGTAGGGGGAGGCGGCGCAAACGTACTGGACGCCCACTGCCAGGGGGCTGCCGGCGCAGCACGGTGCGGCGGCCATTGTTGCGGCGGCGTGTAGGTGTGGTTGTGCCAGCGAGGAGGAGATGGCTGCTGGGAGATGTGCTGGGTCGGCTGGGAGGCAAGGTAGCTCGCCATGGCTGCCGTGACGCTTGGAACGGGAAACTGCTGGGAAGAATGGCCATCCGCGCCGTCGTGCGTCGGAGCGGCGTGGTCGTCTTGGCGCCATGAGGAGCTGATGTTCCGCGAGCCAGACGGGTAGTACGACCTCATCGTTCGCAACTGTACGCTTCCTGGGTGGTATTCTTGTCCGCAACTGTACCATGTGTCATGTGATGATCTTTTATAACAAAGAGTGAGAGGTTTTATATAATAATATAAAGATCCATATATGATATATAGCGTAACACCCACGCAGTTAAGCGCGTTATAATTCAAACACTGGAACACGTACTCGTAAGTTAGTTTGGTATATCGATATTATAAAGTTGTTTGCCGTCACATTACAGGTTTCCTGTCACACAAATGTCTCCACACTATACTTGTCAAAAAAATTAAAAAAAAATCATACTTACTCCCTTAGTGGTAGAGGGTGTTGTCTAGGCCCCAAAACGCATAAAATACACATTCAGGTCCTTTAACTTGGTATGGTACGTCGCAGGTCGAAAAGAATCCAAACCAGACCTGTTTGCTGCGTGGTGGTCCACGCTGGCACCGGCGAAACCAGCCCCTAAACTTAGTAGAATATATCATCTAGGTCCTAAACTTTCAAAATGCATATCCGCGTACGTGAACAAGACCCACGCTACGTCACATGCCCGGTATCTATATTTGTCTTAGTGTCAATATGGATATTCGTATTCGTATTTGATTTTTAATCTGGATACTAAGTGGATGTATCAATATACAATTTCTATAATTTTTCTATAATATTATTTATAGTTGGTCTACCAAGTGTAGGAGTTGGTCTAGCATCGCGGGTGCCAGCATGGACCGCTACGTCAGCAAATAGGTCTACCTGTGACGTACTATGTGCCAAGTCCAAGGATTTGTATGTGTATTTTAGGAGTTTGGGGACCTAGATGACACCCTATACCAAATTTATGGGTTGCTGATATATTTTACTCTAAATTGTAAGACTTACTGACTAAGTACATAACAAAAGCTGTGTCTCTGCATCTTACAGTTTAGAACATAGAGTATCTATTTATAATTACCCATCATTACTATTATCAAACCCAAAATTTCACTGCATCTATTTGTAAATTACTCACTAGTGTCCTTACAAGGAATAACAAAGAAATCCACTTATGTGCTTTTCCATTATATGCCCCTTCAAATATTTTAAAAACAAGCAAAATACTCACATGTTTGTTATTGCATATGTACGTCGTACGTGGCATGCATTTATGAGATTAAAAAGTACAATTTGCATTATCAAAGTTGTACACAACTTGAAATGAGTAGCTCAAGATTTTAATATTGTAAACAAACTAAGTACTAGAAAAAGAGTAGAACACATCCCTCACAAAAAAGTAGAACACATTTTAGTATTTTTGTTAATGCAAAGTTCGTTATCAACATATACATTTAAGAGACCAAAGACACGATTCACATAATCAAAACTGTATATAGCTTGAAACATGTAGCTCAAGCTAGCTTATAACATTAGCTAGATGACATAGAAAGATGCAACTACGTCCGGGTTAAAACATGGGACTTGCTAAAATTCAGGTGTCTGAATTTTTAGCTTCCATTCAGACGACGGTTATTGCATATATTTTATACTAAAATTACAGATTTTGTTCATTGCAATTTCTGTAGGTGCAATCTGTAATTTTCAGTACCGAGAATAAAAAACACGTTAGACAAAATCACAAACCCGGCAAAATTTAATTTGTGTTGGCACAAAGGCAACTAACAATTTACAATTATTTCTATAGAAAGACAAGGGCAAAAAAAATTAATATGTTATAACATAAAGATAAATAACAAATTACAAAAGTAACAATTTACTCGTATTAGCTGATGGTATAAAAGTGTTGCCTGAAATCATCTTAAGATTTAGGCATCGAGAAGTGTTAAAGTATTATAAGAACTTGAATCAATGTTGGGGATAAAGTAGCCAAAAGACATGGGAGTACTTTTGGTAAAAATGGTAAAGAAATTTTTTATTATTTAACGTTAGGATAAATCGTGTCCATCATTCATTAGAATTCTTGAAGGTAGTTCAGTTTTTTGGTGAAATGTGAAAAAATAGGTTCGTTGTTCTATTACAATATCATCGGAAACAAAAGAAAATTTTTAATCAATTACTGTTTTATTTTATCCCACACACCCCGCCACTCTACGCACCCGCTGTTGCTATAGGGCTGTGCATTTTCATCTCCACGCACCAGATATGGTCATAGGACCACGTTTTTTCATCCCATACTTTTTACCCATGCCACCTTGTCACTCTACGCACCCACCGTCATCATAGGACCACGCAACCTCGCCACTTCACACACCCCCCCCACCCACACACCCACACACACAACTGTCGCCATAGGTCCACAGTCGAGACAAGCCTCCTCCCCCGATCCTATCCTAAGATCCGCTGATCCTCCTAACATACTGCTGACTACATGACTGATCTAAGGATAACCACATTGTATATGGACTAATAAGTACATAGAACCCTTATGGTCAATTCATATCTGTTATTATTTTCTAACATTATTTAGCCAACAAATAGTCTATACCTGCAATAAAAACACCATATCTATGATCCTATGGCCACAATAGGGAGGAGTAAAAAAGGTAATCTCGATGGATAGTCTGATATAGACTGGTCTTACTGTGTTTTATCCGAGTAACCGGTGAATATTATTTTTATTTTAATCCCCATAAAGGTCCTATTCGTTTCTCTTATAATCCGTCTTTTTCAGCCTGTTTTTTTCAGCTGGAACAGTGTTTTTCTCTCATGACAAATCAGCCGGAATAGTATTTTGGCTTGTTTTTTCAGCGAAGCGAACGAGGCCAAAATGTTTTTGATAAATATTGTGGTTGCTTTAAGGCAATAGCACAAGGAAAACAAATAGATCATCCTAATAAACATCTCTGCACCTAAAAAGATTATAACGTCGTCATCTACCCGGGATACCGAATCTCAATCCCTACTCACGCGTCCATGTCCGTCTAAAAGGACAAATGATGCCGCCTAAAGGAGGTGAATAGGCGTTTCTAAAAATTAACACCTTCAAATACGGAAACAAATAGTATAGGAACCCCTCACGAGTTAACCACATAGTGTATGAAATATACTAAATAAGCTAGGAGCCAAAACCCTGCAACACAAATAATTAGAGCAATTAACAAATTAATTGAACGTTGACCCTAATACCGGACGTGCCCGATATACATGGGTTGTGCAGTCAGCTGCCCAACTTGCTCCTTTTGATTTTTCCTTTCACACCAAGTTGCAAGTACCTACTAGTAACCTGCTTACAAGCTCAAGAAACACAAATAGATCATAAATACCAAATGAAAAGGAAATTGAGACACGGTATTTGTTTTACCGAAGTTCGGACTCCGTCAAGTCCTACTCTTCGTTGAGGGGGCTGCGAGCGACCCAGCAAAGGTCAGCTCTAGAGGACCCACAAATGTCACTCCAGCTGGAGTCTTTTCCAACTCCTTTTCCTCCTTCCACTAGTTGATCCCTTCCCTTGCGGGGGTGGAATCAACCGTTACAAACTTCCCCAGGCACACCACAATCTCTTGGATGCTCTCCGACGACGCCTAGCTGTCTAGGACCGAAGAGTCCAAGAGTAACAAATATAAATCATGAGATCGACAAATATGCTCAACTGCTCAAGTGATGGCTTGCTCTCAATTTTGAATTTCTATCAACCCACTAAAGGATTTTACAAATTGGATCAATCTCTCACCAAGATAGGGTTAGAGAGTGTTCTCAAGGCTCAAAAACGTGTATGAATGTTGGCAGAATCAGCAACCTCCAAAGGTGGAGGCTTGGGGGTATTTATAGACCCCACTAAAAAACTAGCAGTTTTCTAGCCGTTCGAATACCGGACACGTCCGGTATGAATATCGAACACGTCCGATATCACCAGCGCAGCACCAAGATTCGACCGTTAGAAGGGTGCGCAAGGCGTCGGAACTCCCGACTCTTGCCGGGACTTCTGACTCCCGAAACTCCCGACTCTTGTTGGAACTTTCGACGAACCAAACCGAGAACACCAAGGAAGTTGCTACGGCAGTGTCTCTCTTTCACTCAAACCTCACATAGGTTGGCTTGAGCACTTATGAATAATCATCTATCAGCATGATGCATCCCTCTTAATAGTATGGCATACCTATTGCCGACTAAATATGCTCGGCCCAGTCCGAGGGGATCCCCATGATGGTAGATTGATCGGAGGATGCGTAAGATCAAGAACAAGATGGCATGAGAGACACAAGAGTTAGATAGGTTGGGCCGTCGACGACGTAATACCTTACTCCTATGTTACGTTGGTTTGTATTGGCTATCGTATGATATTGCATGTTTTGAGGGGGTCCCGCCCGCCTTATATATAGTGGGGTAGGGTTATAAGTCGGTTAGATCTAGGAGATAACTGGTAAGTAATAACAGATTATAGGAATAATGAGGATCGAGCATATCCTAATAGATCTCGTAGCATCTTTAGGATATCGCCTTGATGTCTTCTTGGTACATACGAAGCAAAGACCGTGCACCGTGAAGTCTTTGTCTTGTGGGCTGAACCGTCCTCGGCGACATGACCCATGTCTTGTGCCATGGGTATCAGAGGTCGTACCCCACACCTATTTACTCAAGATCAAATGAAAAAACGAAATATGAAGCGCTTGAGTTGATTTCCATCAAACCAAATGCCATAGCTCTGAATCTTCATCAAGTGAGGGTGTCACCATGTCAACTTTGATTTTCTTCTTGAGCATAGCCATCTTGAGCATGTGACTATATTACAATCAATAGATGTGAGTTAACTTCAAATGTATCAAGTTACTTCCAAAATTTATCCAATTGTATTTGATCCTCCACTTCAATGTGACTGGTTTGATTAGTACCTCAACTAAATGCAAGTACTTTCTTCTTCACCCTAGCTAAGTTCCTCGGT